ACAAAGAAGTGGAAAAAATATTCCATGCTCATGGATTGGAAGAATCGACATTGTGAAGATGTCCATCTTACCTAAGGCAATCTACAAATTCAATGCAATACCCATCAAATTGCCAGCAACATTCTTCTCACACCTAGAAAAAACAACACAGGAATTCTTATGGAAACACAAACATCTAAGAATAGCCAGAACAATCCTCAGAAAAAAAAAAAAAAAAGCAGGTGATATCACATCACCATACTTCAAACTTTACTATAAAGCTACAATCATCAAAACAACTTGGTATTGGTATAGAAACAGGCATATAGATCAATGGAATAGAATTGAAATACCAGAAACAAAACCTCAATTTTCAACCAACGCATCTTTGACAAAGCCTCCACCACCTACCACTCGGGAGAGGAGAACCTATTCAGTAAATGGTTCTGGGAAAACTGGCTGACCACATGCAGAAGATTGAAACAGGACCCCTATCTATCTCCATGCACAAAGTTAACTCCAAATGGATCAGAGAACTAAATGTAAAACCTCAAACCATAAGAACCTTAGAAAACGAAGGACATACCCTCATGGAAATCGGAACTGGCATCCAATTCCTGAACAAAACTGAAACCCACAGGTCATAAGAGAGAAGATAGACAAGTGGGACCTTATTAAACTGATAAGCTTCTGCAAAGCCAAAGAAACCATCAAGAGAACATGGAGACAGCCTACAGACTGGGAAAAAGTATTTGCCAAACCAGGTCTGACAGAGGCTTAACATCTTGGATCTACAAGAAACTCAAACTTGCTGAAAAGAAAAAAACCAGCAACCCCATTATAAAATGGGCAAAAGATACGAACAGATACTTTACAATGGAAGACATCTGAGCAGCCAACAGACACACGAAGAAATGTTCAACCTCACTAATCATCAGGGAGATGCAAACAGAAACCACACTGAGATACCACCTAACTCCAGTCAAAATGTCAGTTATCAACAACTCAAAAAATAACAGCTGCTGGAGAGGGTGTGGTGAAAAGTGAACAATTATACACTGTTGGTGGGAGTGTAAACTAGTGCAACCGCTGTGGAAAGCAGTGGGGAGATTCCTAAAAGCTCTAAATATCAACCTCCCATATGACCCTGCAATCCCCCTACTGGGAATATATCCTGAAGAACTCAAATCGCTCTATAAAAAAGATACCTGCACACGTATGTTTATTGCAGCATTGTTCACAATAGCAAGAACCTGGAAGCAACCATACTGCCCATCAAAAGAGGACTGGTTTAAGAAAATGTTGTACATATACATGATGGAATACTATGCAGCTATAAAAAAGAACACAATCATGAATTTTGCAGCAACCTGGATGGAACTAGAGTCTATAATACTGAGTGACCTCTCTCAGAAACAAAGATCTGAGTATCACATGTTCTCACTCATATAGTGGACCTTGAATATCCAATGTAATACTATAAGAAAATGACTGACATTAGTGGGAAGCTATGGCGGGGGGGAGATGGGATTAACCATAGCAAATATCTGTCTGGGGATGGGGAAACATCTCTTATCAATAGGATGCCTGAATGAAATGTATTTTTATACCTAATCCTTAACTGTACCCCACAACATCATAATAAAAAATATTGATTAAAAAAATTTTATCTTGAGTATTAAACTTTTTATAAGTAAAAAGTAAATGATAGCACTACATTCAGAATATGGGAAATTCCTTTTTACTATTGAAATTCTTCCTACTAGTCATGTCAGAGTTTTGTCTTTGTTTTTGTAAATGGAAATTTTTTGGTTGTTGTTGTTATTTAGTTTTTATTTCCCTGCAATCCAACTAGACGTGGAAGGGAACATGGGAAATATGGAACCCAAGGAATTGTAACGCGAGCACAAAGATTATAGGGATACTGTGAGCAAATGGGTTGGAGGGGGTGCTCTCCTGAGCTACAGAAGGAATGATCTGATAGTTTAAGATAAAACAAGTCAAATTTATTAGAGTTGTCCACAGTCAGCAATGGTGATCTTCTTGCTGGTCTTGCCATTCTTGGACCCAAAGACCTCCATGGCTTGTGCAACATTCATGCCCTCTTTCACCTTGCCAAAAACCACACGCTTGCCATCCAACCATTAAGTCCTAGTAGTGCAGATGAAAAACTGGGAACCGTTTGTGTTGGGTCCAGCATTTGCCATGGACAAGATGCCAGGACCTGTATGCTTCATGATGAAGTTCTCATCATCAAATTTCTCCCCATAGATGGACTTGCCACCAGTGCCATTATGGCGTGTAAAGTCACCACCCTGGCACATAAACCCTGGAATAATTCTGTGAAAGCAGGAACCCTTATAACCAAATCCTTTTTCTCCAGTGCTCAGAGCACAAAAGTTTTCTCCTGTCTTTGGAACTTTGTCTGCAAACACCTCGAAGGAGACGTAGCCCAAAAGTTCGCAGTCGATGGCGATGTCGAAGAATATGGTGGGGTTGACCATGGTTAATGGGAAAAGGCTCAAGGTGGTGGTATCTGCAAAGCCATAAATGGAAATTTATTTTCAAGTTTAGTAAAATATTTTTAATTGAAAAATAAAAATTCTCTATATATTTATGGTATACAATGTGATGTTTTGATATATGTATACATTGTTCAAGGGCAAAATCAGTTTATTTGCTATATGCATCATCTCATATATTAATTTTTTGTGGTAAGTACACTTAAAATCTTGACTCAGCCATTTTCAAGACTCATCATGATGTACAATAGATAGCTTGAACTTACTTCTCCTGTCTAAACAAAATTTTGTGTCCTTTGACCATCTTTCCAACACCCTTCCCACCTCTTCCTCCTAGCCCCTGCTAGTCATTATTTTACTCTCTATTTATTTGATTTTGACTTTGTTTCAATTACATATATAAGTGAGGTCATGAAGTATTTTTCTTTCTGTGCCTGGCTTATTTCACATAGTACAGTGTCCTTCAGGTTCACTCATGTTGTTGCAAATGACAGGATTTCCCCTCATCCCCCACTTCTTTTGAGTTGGGGTCTCATTCTGTTGACCACACTGGAGTGTAGTGGCATGATCAAGATGATCCTAGTTCACAACAGTTGACCTCCTGTGCTCAGGCGATCCTTTCACCTCAACATCCCGATTAGCTGAGGTTACAGGTGCATGCCATGATGTCCAGTTATTTTGTATTGAATTTTTTGTAGATATGAGGTTTCATTTTGTTGCCCAGACTGGTCTCAAACTCCCGGGCTCAAGTAATAATTCTGCCTTGGTCTTCCAAAGTGCTGTGATTACAGGTGGTGAACTAGTGCACTTGGCTATTCTTTTGTAAGGCTGAAAAATATTCCATTGTGTGAATATACTATATTTTCTTCTTCTCTTCATCTGTTGATGGGTATTTAGGTTGATTTTATATTTTGACTGTAGAGGCTAATGCTGAAATGAACATGGCAGTGCATATACCTCTTCAATGTACTGATATACTTAGTAGTGAGATTGTTGGATCATAGCAGTTATGCTTTTAATTTTTTTGAGGAACCTTCATATTAATTTTCATAATGGCGATATTAACTTACATTTCTGCCAATAGTGTTCAAAAGTTCCATCTACCCACATCTTGGCCAACTCTTGTTATTGTTATTTTCCATAGAGGTTGGTCTAGTTTGCACTGCCACTAACAGTGTAGAAGTGACCCTTTTTTTCTACCATGCCAGCATCTTTTGTTTTTTTGATTTATGAATGTTGGCCATCCTTTCTGGAGTTAGGTGGTATCTCAATGTGGTTTTGATTTGCATTTCTTTTATGATTAATGAGGCTGAGCATTTTTTCATGTATCTGTTAGTTCCTCGTATGCCTTTTTTTAAGAAGTGTCTATTCATATTCTCTACATAAGAATCCTATTTTTAAAAAAACACAAGGCAGACTTGTATGTACATTGGAGTAGGCAATCAAATCTTGATCAAATCCTCAAAAGGAAATGCCATAAAAGATAAGATAGACAAGTGGGACCTTATAAAACTGAAAAACTTTTGCACAGCAAAAGAAACTATCAAGAGAGTGGGGAGACAACCCACAGAATGGGAAAAATATATACTAATTGTGCATCTGACAACCTAACATCCAGGATCTACAAAAAATTCAAACGAGCTGAAAGGAAAAAACAAACAACCCTATCACATTTTCTTCTAACATTTCTACAGCTTTACTCCTTATGTTTCTTTTATTCATTTTGAGTTGATTTTTATATGGTGTATGTTGATAATCTAATTCCATTTATCTGCATGTGGATATCTTGTTTTCCCAACACCATTTATTGAAAAGACTGTCCTTTCCCCCAATGTATGTTTTTGAAATGTTTGCCAAAAATCTACTGATTTTAAAAGCAGGGAATTATTTTGGGGCTCTCTGTTCTGTACTATTGGCTTATATATCACTTTATATGTCAGTACAATTCTTTCAATTGCTACAATTTTGTAGCAGATTTTGAAATAAGGTAGCATCTGGCTTTTTTCCCCTCAAGATTGTTTTGACTATTAAGATCTTTTGTAGTTCTATACAAATTTTTAGATTGTTTTTCTGTTGGAATATTAGGATTGATTTATATTTCTGCAAAAAAAGTCATTGGAATTTTTACAGAGATTGCATTGAACTCTTAAATTGCTTGAGATAGTATGGAAATTTCAGCAATATTAATACTTCCAATTGATGAAACCAGAATATGTTTACAGTTTTGTGATGTCTTCAATTTCTTTATTCAGTGTTTTAGTTTTCAGTGTACACATCTTTCATATTCTTGATTAAGTTTATTCATAAACACTGGGGACTTTTTGTAGCTATTGTAAATGGGACTGTTTTTTATTTTTTTTTAATTTTTTTATTTTAAAGATGTAGGGTACAATTCAGAATTAGGTATACAAGTGGTCATTATACAGGTAAAGTTTGGACCTCTCTTTGGTCCCCACATATCTGGTTTGAGATCAGGTACCTTTATTAATGTTATATGCCTCCTTTCCTCCCCTAGCAAAGTCCCAATACTGCCAATCCCTTTCCTATAGTATTATGGTAAAAGTTCGGGGTCTGCTTATGAGTGAGAACATGTGGTACTCAGTTCTTTGTTTCTGTGCTAGATCACTGAGTCTAACAGATTCTAAATTCATTCCAAGTTGCTGTGATGTTCGTACTTTTGTCCTTCTTTATAGCTGCATACTATTCCATTATGTATATGTACCACAATTTTTTATCCAGTCCTGTTTCAATCATCAGCACAGCTGGTTCCATTTTTTTTTCTGCTGTGAATAATGCTGCAATAAACAAGTGTGTGCAGGTATGTTTTTTTGCAGAGTGATTTAAGTTCCTCCAGGCATATTTCCAGAAGGGGGATTACTGAATTGTATGGAAGGTCAATTTCTAGTTCTTTTAAGAATTTACACACTGGTTTCCATAGAAGTTGAACTAGTTTGCTTTCCCACCAAAAGTGCAGAAGTATTCCTTTTTCTCTGCTTCCTCACCAGCGTCTGTTTTTTCTTTGTTTTATTAGTGATGGTCACTCTTACTGGAGTCAGGTGGTATTTCAGTGTGGTTTTGATTTGCATTTCTCTGATGATTAGTGAGGCTGAGCATTTTTTATGTGCCAGATGACTGCTTATGTGTCTTCTTTTGAGAATTGTCTATTCATGTCTTTTGCCCATTTTTTAATGGTGCTGTTTGTTTCTTTGTTTTTTTCCTTTTGGCACGTTTGAGTTCCTTGTAGATGTAGGATGTTAGGCCTCTATCAGATATGCATTTGGCAAACATTTTTTTCCCATTCTGTGGGCTGTCTCCCCACTCTCTTGATGGTTTCTTTTTTCAATAGTTCATCATGAGTGTATATAAATGCTAATTATTTCTCTTTATTTTAAAGATATGGAATAAAATTAGGATTAGATCGATAAGAGGTCATCATAGAATTAAAGTTTAGGCCTCCCTTTGGACCCCACTGTGCATGGTTTGAGATCAGGTAACCTTATTGATATTATGTGCCCTCCTCCCTCCCCTGGCAGCATCCCACTATTGTCAAAACGTTTCTTATGATTTTTGTATATTGATTTTATATGCTGTGTCAATACAGAATTTATTACTTTTAACAGTTTTTTAATGGAATCCTTAGGATTTACTATATATAAGAGCATATCATTGACAGAGTTGATTTATCTTTCTTTTTTTCAATTTGGATGCCTTTTATTTCTTTCTCTTGCATAATTTTTCTGACTAAAGCTTCCACTACTAGAATTGCTCAATAGAAATGGCATCCTTGTCTTGCCCTTAACCCTAGAGAAAAAGTTTCCAAATTTTCATCATTGAGTACAATGTTAGCTATTGGCTTATCACATATAACTTTTTAAAAAAATGAGTCAAAGTCTCACTCTGCCAGCTAGGCTGGAGTGCAGTGACATGATCACAGATTACTGAAATCTTGACCTTCTGGACTCAGGCAATCCTTCCACCTTCGCCTCCCAAGTAGCTGGAAATATAGTTTTATGTCAACATGCCTGACTAATATTTTGTCTTTTTTGTGCAGACAAGGTCTCACAATGTTGCCTAGGCTGGTTTTTTACCTGCTGTAGCCTTTATTTAGTTTAGGTACGTTCTTCTACATATAATTTGTTGAACATTTTTATCATGAAAATAGGTTTAATTTTGTTGAATGCCTTTTCTGCATCTACTAAGATGATCATATGACTTCTGTCCTTCATTCTGTTAATGTGGTATATCACATTCATTGGTTTGTGTAAATTGAATCATCCTTACATCCCAGAAATAAAACTCACTTAGTCCTGGTAAATGATACTTTTAATGTGATGTTTAATTCACTACATTTGCATTTTTGTTGAAGATTTTTTTCATGTATGTTCACCAGTGATATTGTAGTGTCCTTGTCTGGCCTTGGTATCCATGTAATTTCAACACTGTAAAATGAATTGAGAAGTATTTCGATTTCAATTTTTTTCTTAACAGTTTTAGGATTGGTATTAGTTCTCTTTTTAGCTGTGTGTTAGAAGCCAGCAGTGTAACTTTCAGGTTCTGGGGTTTTTTAATGGGAAATTCTTTATAAAAAATTTGATTTATTTACTCATTATTTGTCTGTTCAAATTTTTTAATGACTCAGTTTTGGTAGGTTGTGTGTGTTGAGAAATTTATTGATTTTTTTAGGTTATCCTAATTTTGTTTATAACTGTTCATAGTAATCTTTTAAGATCCTTTGTATTTATGTGGTATCATTTGAAATGTCTCCTCCATCATTTATGATTTTATTTATTTAAGTATGTTCTCTTTATTCTTAATCTAGCTAAAAGTTCATCAATTTTATTTATCCTTTCAAAAAAGCAACCCTTAATTTTGTTAATCTTTTCTATTGTTTTCCTTGTTTGCATTTCATTTATTTCTGTGTTGCAGGAGGCCAGCCCCTGCAGAGATTTAGAGGGTCCCTTGGAAGGTGTGGCAGCGTCGGC